AATCGGATATATGGATAACAAAAGAAAAGAAATTTAAATTCAATTAAATTTAATACGAAATATATATAACGTATATATGTAATCATTTAATTATTAATTTTATTTTTAAATAGAATATTTTTATTTTTCATATATATTTCATTAGAGAAATAATTAAATAAATGATAAACAAAATAGTAGAGGAGAATCCTCTTACCTCGATTTAGCAGGATCAACTTTCCCCGATAAAATGAAAATGATCTTCCAACACGATGATAATTCTCTTTGACTTTTCAGTCACCACCGGAAGAGAGAAAAAAAAAAAAAGAACGTAATTTCAAGAAATACTTTACATAAAATTAATGACTCTTACGACGACGACGACGACGTGCATACAAAAACTTGTATTATTAAATATATATATATATATATATATAAACCCCCAAACAAATTTTTCCTTATTTTTCTTTTTTTAGATAATTTTACAGAAAAAAGAAAAAAAAAAACAAAGAACACAACTTCAGTACGCAACTCGCACGAAAACCGAACGTTTTAATATCACTCAATAAAAAAAAAAATTAAATCGAGAAGAAAAATATATATATATATATATAAATAAAAATAAAAATAAAACTAATATAGTATATATAAAACAAAATTGTGAACAACAACAAAAAATAGCAAATAATTTCGGCAGACAATTATTTCATGGAAAAAGGAACAAAAATTTAAATCGTTCTCCCAGAAAAAAAACACACAAAAAATGAAAAGATACTGATTGTGATGATGGTACTGAACGATGATGACGATGATGATCAAAGAAAACGATATTGAAGAAGACGATGCTGATCGGCAATGTAGCAGCGTCTCGCGTAGAAGTGACCGGTGTACTTTATAACCTTGGTCTTGGTTCCGAAGTAAAAGATAACCGTGAAAGAAGGAGAAGAAGAAGAAGAAGAAGGGGGGAGGAAAGAAGTGGTGGTCGGTAAACCCCCTTAAGAAAAAAGTAGTAGTAGTAGGGAGGGGGGTGGACTGAACTGAGGGGGAAATGTTAATACAGTTGAAGAGTAAGTGTGTTTTATGCATAAAACTAGGCCAAAATGTAAAAGCTGAAAAGTAACTTGGAGTGTTTGGTTATTCGGAGTATTTAATGCACGTGGATTTGATTCGAGTGGGGGGTAAATGTCATGGTGGATGATCAATTTAATTGGAGTGGGAGAGAGAGGGGTGGGTGGTGGTGGGGGTGACGAAATACAATTGGATAGATCATTTAATATCAATTGACATTTTAATAACAGTCTGAGAAATTCATTCGTGTTAGTTCAAACGTTTGTTCGATTACTTTTTTTTTAATTGAGAATAATTTTGATCAGTTTGTTTGTTTGTTTTCTTTAATTTCATATGCTCGCGCCTTTCTTCAATGGTGTTTCACCTTTCCTGGACAGAAACGGGCATCACCAACTCGTCTCTTCGACTGTGACCCCATTTTCATGGCGAGAGTATAACAGAAAACTTGTTTTAAGAACCTTTATTTGTAAGAGGTATTTCCATTATTATTACCACCATTATTTTTCACGGGCAAGGACAACCGGAAATTATTCGTTATTTTATAGTAATACCTACCTGGAGGTTATGGGGACAGGGGGGCAGGGGGAATGGAATTTTCTGGCCCAAATTGCAATTAAAGTTTCACTTTCAATTTTGAAATGATTATTTCATCGAGTTTTTATCGTTACACGAGTTAATTATTACTTTTAATGTTCATATTTAAATTGTAATTGTTAATTATTCATTATTATTATTATTATTATTATTATTATGGGGAGAGGGGGGTTTATTTTTTTCCGAATTAGGATTGAAGTTTTACTTTCGTTTATAGAAGATATATTTTGTTTCTGTTATGATTCATTTTTATTTATGTATGTTCTATCACAGAATTTGATATTTTGTCTTTTTGGATAATTAAATTACTTTCTTTTTTTTGTGTTTAAATAATTACATTTAATTTTGATGATCGT